TAGGACTCAGCTAGGTGTTGTGTAGGGCTACTGGTTTCGTTAAGGGGTTTCTACGAGGTCTCTATACGGTCCTGTAAGGATTTTCTAGAAGGCATGTTTCACTAGAAGCTTTTATGGACTTTCCATAAAATGTTTCTGTAAAGTTAAAGAAGTCTAGGCTTCTATGACACTTCCCTAAAGTATTTCTCTAGGGGCTGCGCTTCTGGCACTCTTGGGGTTTCTTGCCAAGGACCCCTAGGTATATACCCTTAATATAGCTATTATATACCCATTATATAGCCCATTATAGTGTAGGGGTCCCCATTAAGGCTTCATTAAGGGTCCCTCTTTTGGATGAGCTTGAGGCTCTGTGGTCACCTGGGGAGATTCGCGATTCGGAGGGCAGACCACTCTGATCCAGGACGCTAGGTTTCCCAGTAGTACCCTTTCTTTTGTTTTGCTTTGGGGTTCCAGAACCAAAAAGTAGGGAAGAAGGGTGTCCTTATCACTAGGGTGCTACAGTAGTAATAATTAGTAGGGAAAAAGGCTGCCCTTATTATTAGGGTGCTACTGGGGAACCTAGGACAGGTTGAGGGATGTGCAACAGATTTGCCCCTCTTCGGGGGCGTTTGCAGCCCTACGGGCAGATGGCTCCGTCGTGACCTGGGGCCACGCAGAATGCGGCGGGATCAGTGCCGGTGTGCACGAGCAGCTGCATGAGGTTCAGCAGATCGAAGCCAACGGCCGCGCCTTTGCGGCAATCCGTACAAATGGCACAGTCGTGACGTGGGGCTCTGCGGAAGAGGGCGGTGATTCCAGGAAGGTCCAGGAGAAGCTTCGTGGAGTGATCAGGATACGGAGTACCTCGAGTGCTTTCGCGGCAATTCGAGGAGATGGGACGGTAGTTACTTGGGGAAATCCATGCTTTGGTGGAGATAGCTCTGCCGTTCAGCACCAGCTGGCAGATGTCGTAGATATCAGTGCCACTGCCGGTGCTTTTGCAGCGGTCTCTGCTCATCAGAGGCTGGTCATGTGACCCGAAACGCTCACTAAACTCTCAACACTAAACCGCATACAATAATTTCTTAAACCCCTGCACCAGGTTGATTATGTGGGGAAGCCCAGACTACGGCTGCGACGCATCTGCAGCAGACAAGTTGAACCATGTCAGGGAAGTTGTGGCTTCTGCTGGGGCATTTGCCGTGGTGCGGACGGATGGCACAGTGGCTACCATAGGACGTTCGGACTGTGGGGGTATGGCTGTGGATATTGGCGACATCGAGCGGATCTTTGCATCTGGAAGTGCTTTTGCAGCCATCCAAAGCGATGGTCATGTGGCGACCTGGGGAGATTCAGAGTACGGAGGAGCTGTAAACCCTACGCTACACCCACAACTTACACCTTACCTAAGCCCTAAACCCTGCACCCTATGGAGGAGACAGCTCCGCGGTACAAGATCAGTTGACCGGCATCCAGCAGATCGCATGCACGGCGGGTGCATTCGCAGCCTTGCGCGGGGATGGCCGTGTGCTGACCTGGGGTCAGGCTGACTGTGGCGGCCAGAGACATGTCTGTCATGGCAGTCTTTCATTTCCAGGTTTGTTATTGATTAGCATCGGGCCATAAATCATTGCGACTTTTTGATCCAGTTGGGCCATTATCTTACGAAAAGTTATCCCCTAAACCCAGTTCCGATCATAAAGACATGCCCCATATATTGCTTGCTCCTGGGTCTCAGAGAGCAGGTAGTCGACTAATAAGACGAACGCTCAAAAAAACCTTTCGATACATCCCAGCACCCTGATCCCCTAACCCCTAAACCCCTAAACCCCTAAACCCGAAACCCTTGGCTCAAGAGCACTCGTCTGATTTCCATGAGTAGCTCTTCACCTCTACATCCAGGATTGTTACCGACTAGAAGAAGGCCTGTTGCTAGGCAGCAGAATGTGATGTCAGGAGCTTCTCCACCAGGTGTAAGATTGATGACAAGAGATGGGAAGCAAAGAATCCTGGACCCTCACTCTTCAGAAGGTTCACGTACCAAAGGCAAGACACCCGCTAAGGAAGCAATGCCAGCAGCAGCAACACCACCAACATCGAAAGCACCAGCAACAGCTACCAGATCATCTCCAGCTGAGAAGCAAGCAGCAACTGAAATTGGGGCAGAAAATCAAGAAGCAATGGCAGAAGAAGGCCCAATTGAAATGTCGGACGAGGATTACCAAAAATCGTTGGCCCAAGCAGCTGCAGGACTGGTAGAAATCGGAGAAAAGCAAAACCTGTCCGATCAACAGAGATGCCGAGACTTATTGGAATACTTGGGGTTCAAAACTTACCCTGAATTCATTCAAGCCGCCGGTGAAGACTTCCTAGGCCAGGCTGCCAACTACACTCAGGGGAAATACGGCTCATCCAGGTTTTTGACATGGGGCGGGTTTTTGGCATCGGGTGATACGGATAATGAATCTGAGATTCCTGTGGGCACTACACGACTTTTCTTGCAGCAACCAAAGCCTAACACAGAGTTATCTGGCTTTGCTGACACAGGAACAGCTCAAGCTCTGGATCCGAACAACCCAAATGCTACCGAGACCCGTCCTAGGCAACTTTTTGAAGACAACGATTACCCGCCAGTTGTTGGCGGGGGACCAGGTGAGGTTTCAGGTTGGCAGAAAGTCAAGACTCCTGATGAAGCTGCGCTACAAGCTGAGATTGAGGCTGACGTGAAAGCTGAAGCAGCAGAGTTCTCAGAGAGTGCTCAAACTTCGGCTAAAACTGGTGACTTTGATTTCAATCAGTTCCTGACCTCTGCCAAGAAATTCACTGGAAATGATCAACCAACACCAGGGAAGGTTGAAGCAAGAGGCACAGGCAGTTCAGGATCACAGGCTGCCCCTTCTTTGCAAATGCCAGCTGCTTCTGCGGCGGTAGAGTTTGCAGCATTTGGGAGTCAGCCAAAAGGATCACAAGAATCTGCTGTGCCTAGTATGGGACCTTTCGGTGGCTTTGAACCCCTCTCAGCTGGGCCACAAAGGACAGGACCGTTTGCTGAAGAAGATCGAGACAGAAGGCTTACCTTCAATGATCTCCCGCATGGATCAGAGATTACTGGCGTCCAGAATGAGTTGATCGCCAACAGAATGACAACCACATTGCAGTATAAGACTGCAGAAGGTGACTTCTCATTCACCTGCAATGTTTCTACAGACCGCTTGTGGCGAAGCAAAGAAAAGGACGATCAGGGCCAAGACTCCTATACGTGGGAAACAGAGCAGGAATCCCGTCCAGCTACGGCACCCATGTCCTGGCACGAAACGGAAGCCGGTCGTGGATCTGGACAGTTGCTAGAGAAACTAGGCCGTCGCAAGTGCTTAGCCCTTGCACTATACCTTTCAGAAAGACAAGTCTCTTGGCCTACAAGTTTCGGGAACCGGTTGGAAATCAGGCTGGACGGAGAAAGGATGGTCTTCCAAGATTCATCAGAACTGAAAGGACTTTACCCCTTGGCAGATGCTGGTACTGCCTTGACAAATGGTACTGAAGACCAGACTGCGTACTACTTGCCAGACAAACCAGCAAATTTCAAAGACAGCCAAAATGAAGAGTGGTCAGCAAGCCGGATCAGAAACCACAATGCGAGGAATCGAGAAGGTAGGGAATGGTGGCTCAGTAAGTTGCTGGCAACATGAACCATCAGTGCACTGATGGATCTCCATACTCCTTGCATCGGTTACAGCATGTAACAGTACTGAAGGAACAGAACTTCCTGATCCAAGCTTAAACAAAAGCATTAAACAAAAATCAGCAGTCGCTTGGTGAAGTCAAAGTTGCTGTTGAAAAAAAAATCCTCTCAGGAAGCAATGATCCAGAAGTACAACCTTCTCCGCCATGAGCTTGCGAAATGGGGGTTGACAGTCAACCCGGAGAAGACAGCATACTACTGCTCGCCACACTCGACGACCAAAGGGCCCATCCGGTTGGAAGACAAAGTCATCCACCCGAGCGACGACATGGTTGTCTTTGGCATACCCCTCAGTGTGCCTTTCAGACCGACTGCTATCATGGACACAGCCATGTCTAAGGCAACTAGAAAGTTCTACGCGAACAAGCATGTTTTCCTAGCAGAAGCGCCCCTCAAGAGCAAACTCAAGATGTTTCGTTCTGTGGTTGGTGGAAGCCTGTTATGGTACAGCTCTGCTGTCTCCCCGAATGCTCAGGCCATGAGCAGCATCAATGCACTACAATGCGAACTAGTAGCCAAAATGGCAGGATTCCGCAGAAGAACTGAGGAGACCTGGCTCGATTGGCGACTAAGGTCACTGAGGGCGGCACGCAACATCCTTCACACACACGGCATAGAGAGATGGTCAACCTGTTGGCTCAAACGATTCTGGGCCTACAAAGGCCACATTGCACGAGCCCTCAGGCGAGATGCACCGCCGGCAAGTTCATATTTGGACTCCTATAGGACCCTAACATGGTGGAGGGAGCAACAACGACTCACAGACGGCATCTCCCACAAGGGCAGTTTCTACCCATACCACACCAAGGAAGAAGAGTCCCTCAACCACAGCTGCAACTCGACAGACTGGAGACTAGTGGCTCAAGACCCTACAACATGGAAACAGCACGAGGCTACATGGATCGCCCGAATGGACGTCCAATGGGCCTCAGGTAGACAGCAAGCATTACCCTCCCAGTAATTGTACAGCACGCCGTTTCATTTCCGTTCGACCCTCTGGTCGCCGAGGTGAAGCCACGGCTGAGCGACGACCCGAGTCAGGTAATGTTGAGAGGCCCTTACACCCTATCCCACATGTTGTTCACTCCTTGCTTGCGTCCGCAGTATTTCCGTACCTGAGTTGGAACACGCAGGCCCCTATAAGCCCTGCCCTAAACCCTAAACCCTAAACCCTAAACCCTAAACCCTAAACCCTAAACCCAAAACCCTAAACCCTAAACCCTAAACCCTAAACCCTAAACCCTAAACCCTAAACCGGGGCCCTGCCCTTTTCATGACCATGGGCATCGACCCCATCGCGACGATTCTGTTCCTCGCCTACACCACCGCTGCCAGCTTGGACCCGGAGCCCATCGGCCCCTACGATGTGAAGAGAGGCAGCATCCGCCCTGACGGACACAAATTCGATGCCGCTGGTGAGCGGCCACGTGAGCAGAACATGCACTGGCCAACAGTCCGCAAAAAGCCACACGAAGTCAGGCCCGCGCACGGTGATCAACTACAACCGGGACTACCTGTACATTCGGTGCAAGAACGCCGTCCGGAACCTCCAGGAGCCCCTGCACACCTGCATCGGCACGTCCCTGCACATCTCCAACCACCAGAACAAGAACAGGCACCTGGACCAAAGACATCCCGACGCGCCACACAACGCTCCCATGCCATGGACGACTACGACTCCATCGAACTTGAGGCAAACAATCACAAGATGGACGAGACTGACGGACCAGACGGAGACTCAGACTCCCGCGCCCGCCCACATAGTGATCCTCGCCACCTCAGCACAGATGTGGTCACGGAAGGACCTGAAACAGAACGGGACGCAGACACAGACAACGATCCGGAACTACGAGTACATTCACCGCAAGATCCGGGCCAACGCCGAGCCCGAGCACCTGTGCATCAACCCCGGCACGACCATGCCCGCCTCCTACTACATGATCATAAACCCCGACGAGCCTCAGAGCTACCACCACAAGACAACCCCGGTCGAAACGGGGGAAGGCCAGACCTGCTGCCCAAAGACTACGACACCACCGAAACCGAGGTTTACAACAACGAGATAGACCAAGGAGCCGGACCTCACTACGCCCCAGAACTACCTGCACATTCGCCCGAACATCCAGACCAACTCCGAGTTCGAGCCCCTGCACATCGCCTCTCGCACGACCCTGCTCAGCCTCTACCGCATCCTCGACGATTCCAACCAAGCTCAGAGCCCCTAAACGGGCCGAGGCAGGACCTATTGCCCGAGGACTACGGCACCACCGGAACCGAGGTTTTGGACTACAACACAGACGAGAGAGTCGGATCGGACTACGAACCAGAACTACCTGTACATTCACCTCAAGATCCAGGCCAGCTCCGAGCTCATGCCCCTGCACATCGCCTTTGGAACGACCCTGCTCAGCCTCTACAGCATTCTCAACGACTCCAACCCAGCTCCGAGCCCACGCCAGATAACAAGGCGGACCCAACCCGCGAAACGGTCCCACAGCAAGCCACCACTCCCGAGACGCTGCCACAAGAACACATGGACGCGGTTAGCTTGCTCAAGCTACCCGCACTAGCCATCGTTTCCGTGACGGCCGCCTGGGACGAGCCCTTCCTCGCCCACGACGCGCCCCAATGGTTCTGGACAACCTTCGACAAAGGCGCGGAGGGGGGAGCATGCTGGAAAGCTATGGCACGGATGCTGGAGACCGCCTTCCAACAACAGGGAGACGAGGAAGAACAAAGCGACTCCTTCTGGACAGACACAGAGTTGATTCGGAACCACTATGCCACCAGATGGTGGAGACATGCCCAGCGGCGAGATCAACGCGGGGATCCCCTACCAGGCACTCCTCCCACGGAAGACGAGCTTCAAACACTGATCAACAAGATCGCCGACCTGGTCTTCAGAGCATGGTGGAGAGAGCGCACTACCCTCCTCACGGGAGGCGGCCGCCTAAGACCGTGCGGATGCATTGACATGACGGACGCGGAGACCTCCTCGGATGAGGCGAGCTGCAGTTCCACACCAACGCCCCGGGCCGCGACAAGATCCAGATCCCCTAAAGACAGGCGCCCCTTTACCCAACCCTTAAAGATGAACAACGACCCTGACGTGACCATCGACATCGAAGACCAGAGCGAGACCGACGATGACAACGATATTCACTCACTCATGGAACACAGACACAAAGAGGTGCCTATGAACAAAAGAAGCCCGGCCAGGTTATGGAAGGAGTTGCCACCCGAGAGAAAGTCAAGCTCGGTCCGACGCCTACTACCGCCATGGAAAAAGGGAGGAAATCCTGCGCTTCGACCCCGTCCTCCGAGTCGCTCACCGCCACGAACACCGAAAGCAAAAGCAAGACCTCAAGTACCACCAAAATGTCAGGAAGAGGTCCCTGCGCCGACTACCCCTACAGCCCCGGCTACATCCTCCACAGACCTCCCGGACACCGCAACCAATGCCGAGATGACCCCAGAGGACGCAGTGGCAGTATGGCAATCTATCTTCGAATGGGAGGCACAGGAATCCCTGGACCCCACATTGGTCCCATTGCTGCCGACTCACATCTCAGACAGCATCGTCGAGACCCTCGCAGACAAGACGGAAGCAGAGCACAACCTCATGACCGATGTGCTGCCACAGTTCCTCGCGAGGATCCAAACAGACCTGGCTGAAGCACTACTCCGTGCCCGCGACCTGAGGAACAGGCTCAACCCGGACGACCCGAAGAAGTCCCCTGCTGGCAAGAAAAGGCCCGCAGAAGCATATGAGACAGAGGAAGATGAAGAGAACGACGAGTCCATGTACATGCAGACCACGCATATCTCCAGCTCCACTTCCTCGACGCCACCGCAGCAGCCCAACGACGTCCTCTGTGCCCTACACGAAGCACTTGGCCGCCTCCAGCCCGCCAGGGCGACAAGCCGGGCACTCCGGCTCATGCAACGACTTCAGGAACATGATGGACGTCTTTTGGTCGACCGAGAGGCGCTTGAAAGTTTGCTGATTGCAGCTTCCGGCGACGTTCCCCCGGAACCGGAAGGCGACGCCCTGATCTTGGAAATGGGCTGGGTCGGCACATGGTGGAGGAGGATTACCGGCACAGAACCACTAGGGCCCCAGCCGATCGACCTCGATCTCGAGTTCATGGAGAAGCACGCCGGCGACGACACAATCCGCAATGCAGAGGAGGCCGACCAGGCTGCCCGGGAAGAAGCCTACCAACGATGGGCGGACGAAGCAGGAGCGAAACACATGGAAGAAACGGAGGCAGCAAAGGCCAAAACCGAGGACGAAGACACGCTCAAGGAGGCCATGGGACTCTCGTGGGAACCACCCACAAAACGGCTGTGCATAGGAATATGCATAGACGATGGCCGACGAGCGAAAGCTTGGGAGTGGGAGTTGGATAAAGGCGCAACCATCCAAGTACACATCAAGGCGGAGAAGAAGGAGTTCAGTGGAAGATGGTTAAGAGGAGGGCGACCTATCCGTGATGATGAAGTCCCGAAGTCCTTCCAGAAGAACCCGGACAAGAAAGCACCCGCCACTGCCAAGCCACTTGCGACCGTCGACCTCACCAAACCAGCGACACGGGAACTATACTCCCGATGGAGCCAACCGAAGGTGTCGGACCAAGCTGTGGTCCAGATCGGGGGAATAGCCATGCTGATGGCATTCAAGGAAGAACTATTTCCACATGAATGCCAACAAGACCTGGACATGAGGGATACCTACAACGTCAGCAAGTATGATGACAACCACGACGACACAAAGGACCAAAGCACCCCAGGCTTACCTTCAGGCCACAACGAACCGGCTTCCCTACCAGCTCCTCACCGCGGACCAGCTCGAGGCAACGGACTACCTGAAGAAGCAGCAGAAACGGTGCTCAGCGAAGAAACCACGGTCGCCGTACACCAAGAAGATGCCCACCTCCCGCCCGACCCCACGGACACCACGCATGGCGACCAACGTGAGCCCGAGGACGACGTAGAAGCGACCAGCAACCCCGACCCCTACTACAATGGCCGAGTCTTCTTCGAACGCTATGGACGGGATGGTGACGAACAGTCTGAGAGAGGCAGTGGTAGCAGTTGAACCAGGGCCTTCGGCTAATATCCTCGGGGAGTCATCTTAGCTTGTTTCGAGTGTAATGTTTTCGCTTGCTGCCAGGAGGTCTCGGCCCTGCCTTTGTTCGTACGAGGTACATTCTTGGCCCGGGGATGCGAGGGGTCACGTCGCGAGAACTGACAGTGACAGCTGCATGGAGAAAGCTCATGTGACAAACTCTGCTTCTGAAAGGTCCATGATGTCCGATGTACTTGTTGGTAATTGCTACTGATGTTACGGGTGGTAATTTCTTCTGTTTGAACAGGGACAGCCAGAGGACAGACAGAGTTCGGTGCACGTACAGCCGCGCCAAACACGCAAAAGGGACCTGGTGTCAACTCCTTCGTCTAAGGGAATATCTGCCTTTCGACACTAGGTCCCTCCCATAGGCTCCACCTGGTAAGGTATTCCGCTGGTAATGCAGATGGAAAAGGGCCCGCAAAAAAAAAAAAAAACCCTAAACCCCTAAACCCTAAACCCCTAAACCCTAAACCCTAAACCCTGATACCCATAAGGGTCGATTCCGCTAAACCCTTCAGCTCCAGGAGCCAGGATGTACGTGACCAGCTGTCCGACGCACCTTCGTCATAGTTGGGTAACAGTTTACATGTGTATGCGGACTTAAACCCAATCAGGAATAGAAATTTAAAGGAGCCCTAAACCCTAAACCATCGATGCCTCGCAGAAAAAGCGTTCAGAAAAACAAGAAGCACCCTAAACCATGAACTGTAGGTGCGTGGTCTTGGTGCTTCTTTCCGTGCTTTTGCTGCGATCCGGATCGATGGCCGGGTGGTGACCTGGGGCGATCCCCACTACGGAGACTCGCTCTGATCGTTGTCATTCTGTTTCTTTTTATATAGTATGATTACTAAACATATTTTTGAATACTTGCTAGTATTTTTGATATTTTTTGTTAATCACACATTTCCAGAAGAGCTAATAGTCTGACTACGAGTGTCAATTTGGTGTTGCTACTATGGTCAGAACTGTTATTTCCATCATGATACTTATGAGGGTGCTGCCGGCGGAAACCCACAGCATTCCTTAAACAACCGGCTTGCTTATGATACTTCTGATTGCTAGTGCTAGGCTGCTTAGATAGTTTTGTTGTAGAGCCGGCCCCGAACCCTAAACCCTAAACCCTGCTCAAAAAAGCCCTAAACCCTAAACCCTAATCCGTAAACCCTAAACCCTAATCCCTAAACCCGAAACTCTAATCCCTAAACCCTAAACCCCGAACCCTTGTCGTTTCTGTTTGTATCACTGCGGATTCCCACTCATTCACCAAGGGCTTTAATGAAAAGAACTTCGGGTGAAGGCTGATCTTTGTACCAGGGTTTAGGGTCTAGGGTTTAGGGTTTAGGCATGTTTAACCCTAAACCCTAAACCGAACCCTAAACCCCAATAGACCCTAAACCCTAAACCGTAGGCCTTGCCTTAAACTGTGAGGGGCTTCATAATGGGGGTTTTCCGAAACTCACCTTTTCTGAGAGCCAGGAGGGGATGGCTCCACTGTCTGCCCGCAGCTTCAAAACGTGGATGACTTCCGCCCCCCCAGAGACTCCAATATCCCGTAATTAAGGAATACTGTGATGTAAGGGATATTCCTTAATTGAGGGATACTGGATCCTACTGTGATTTAAGGGATATTCCTAAATCAGGGGATATTGGAGTCTCTGGGCCCACGGCGCCGGGCATTGTCGTCGAAAAGCTGCGCGTTCAACCTTGCAAGCCGACTCGCTGAAGCCAAAGCCCCGATAGCGCAGCCCTAAATCGTGCACGATGAGCCCTAAACTCTAAACCCTAAACCTTAAATCTCTAAACTAGAGCCAAGCGGTAAGCTCTCCGTTTGAGAAGCGAGGCTAGCGCTGTGCTGGGTTTGCACAGGGGCGTCTTGGAGTTGAGTTGGCAGAAGGTCTCGTTGATGACATCCCAGAGACTCCAATATCCCTAAAATAAAGGAATACTCCGTAAATCACATTAGGGATCCCTACTATGGTTTAAGGGATAATCCTTAGTGAAGGGATATTGGAGTCTGTGGGATCCTGTACAGCACGGTTTACAGTTTAGGGGTTTAGGGGTTTAGGGTCTGATGACTTTGGCCGAACTTATTCATCATTTGCAGAGATACAGCACCTAAATACACACAGCGCGGCTTCGCACTTTACCTTAACCGAGCTTGTTTGCACTTTACGTAGACTTTCGGAAACCCTGCACCCTAAACCCTAAACCCCAAACCCTGAACCCTAAACCCTAAACCCCAAAACCCAAACCCTAAACCCTAAACCAAAACCCGTAAACATCCCTAAACCCTAAACCCTAGACTTTCGGAATCAGGGCTTAGAGTTTGGTACGCTTTAGAAGTTTAGAGCGTGAGCCCGGGAGCTTCGACTTGAGACCCCCGGAGCCTTCATTGCCGAAGTGGGGGAAGCGTTCAGGGCCCATAGACTTCTATAGATGGAGACTCCAAAAGCACATAAACACAAGAACTTTTCGGGATATCCCTACCGTATTGGGCTGTCTCATAAGGGGGTTTATATGGGATATGCCTATCCTTATTTTTGCTTATCTGCTTTTTGGGGGCCCCAGAATATCCCAGAGACTCCAATATCCCCTACTTTACGGAGATTTTATGGGAGTTTCCGAAAACAAGGGGCACCTTGCTTAGGGTTCCTTGAAAGGGTTACTTTCAGGGTACTATAAGGGTTGCTTAACCCAAAACAAAGGGGTACCGTATATTGGGGTCCTTATAATGGAGATGCTACTAGTTAAGGTACTAAATAAGGGGTGCCGTATTTTGGGGTCCTTATAATAGAGATCCTAGTGTTTAGGGTACTAAATAAGGAGTCCCGATTATCGGAAACACCTAAGTTCTGCCAGGCCACAGCCCGCTTTTGTCGAAGCAGTCCGGACCCAGGCCAGCGGCCATACCATGTTTGTAGTAGGTTCAGTGCATGGCCTTAGCTGCTTGCATTGTTACACCTTGAGAAGACAGGGATCCGAGAGCATGAAGGTAACAGCGTCGGCATATCATCCTACTGGCCTGTTACGATCAGTTGCTGCTGCTGCATCTACGGCAACTGCGACGACCACTAGGACTACTACTACTGCTCCCGATCTTGCTCCTGCCCCTGCTGCCACTGCTACCGTGACCACCACTGCTACCGCGACCGCTCCTGCTTCTTGCAGTCGTGGTCATCTCCAGTCTTCAGGTGCGACCCAAGCCCAACACGCTCCTCCTTCAGCCCGAAGAACTCTAGAATCTATACCCTCCGCAGCTCGAAACACTAATCCCCCACACACAACCCAAGATATCCCCAAGGTTCTAAACCCTATATCCCAAATCGCAAACCCTCAACTCTAAGCTGCCGGAATATGGGACTTTCCGAAAATAGGGGCACCTTATTTTGGAGTCCTTATACTAAGGATCCTATTATTTAGGGTACTATATTAGGGTCCCCTAGTTTCGGAAACTCCCATATGCAGCTCTACCGACACGGAAGGCTCCAGCACATCGACCGCAGCTCATTTCGGCGACCAGAGGTTGGGCTGTTCGGGCTGACTCTCTATCTCTTGGTGGCTGAGTAGTTGAACGTTTACCCTTTTGTGGACATGCTGGAACATATCTATGCAGATGTGTACAGATGTACATGTCTAATCGGTTGTACATGTATACATGTACATGTATACACACAGATTTTTGTGCAGTACAGAAATATGCACGTATGTGTATATATATATATATATATATGTGCATATATATATATATATATGCATATGTATATGCATATGTATATGTACATGTATACACACATGTATACACATGCATACGAACGTACTTCCCTCCCCTCCTCCCCTCCCTCCCACCCTCCCTCCCTCCGTCCATCCATACATCCATCTATCCATCAATGCATCCATCCATCAATCCATCCATCCATCCATCCATCCAAGCAGATATATGCATACAGACATGCATACCCACATATACATACACTGACAAAGGCATACGTACATACGTATGTACTTACCTCATGTGTATATGTGTACATGCGCATATACATATGCGCATGCATATACATGTGCATGTACATAATGTACACGTACACGCACATCTGTTTCTCGGGGCCAGAAACAGCAACTGCACATAAACAAAACGCTGCGATTCAGGTCATGGTTCCCCTATGCTCAACTTCATAATAGGCTAGAGTTTCGGATTCACAGTTGTTGGAGTTTGATGGTGTAAGGTCAACCCAACCAAAAAGCCCCAACTGCCTCCACCCAAAACCCTACCCTCAAGCCTTTAGCCCTCATGGTGTAAGACTTCTTTTGAACCCTTATAGATCCCTCATAAAGCTTTCAAAAACCAGCGACTGTCACACTAAACCCTAAACCCGGGCCAATGTTTACACGACCCTAACCCTAAACCCCTGAACCCTAAAACCCTAAACCCTAAACCCTAAAACCCTAAAACCCTAAAACCCTAAAACCCTAAAACCCTAAACCCTAACCGTAACCCACTCCTGGCACCTCTAATCGGGCCTCTGAGGCCCTCTCCCCTCTACCTCTCCTGGCTCCTTGTGGCCTTCATGATTACAAGAGGGTTCCTTTAAAGGGATGTCTAGGGTTTCCTTAGCAGGGCTAAAGTTTCGTGTTCTATAAGATAGGGGCCTTAATACGTAGAGTAGGGTTTTGGGGCTCATTATACTATAGTCATAATAAGGACCCCCCAAAAAATAGTGGGGGGGGGTGTTATTTTGGCCCCTATAGTAGGTATCAAGATGAAGAAGTCATCTAGATCCTTATTGTTGTAGCTCAAGTTAAATTCCTAAACCCCAAGAGCTAAACCCTAAATCCGAAAGCCTAAACCACTACTCTGGCAGCCAGGTCCTGTGGAAGCCACCATTACATCACGAGAAAGGCATCATGTCGGCAAGGGAGTTAGGTTAGGCCACCGGGGAGCCTATATACCCCTTTTGCGATAACTATTC